GATGCATCTTTTAAAGCAAATATTTCAATTGATAATTTAGTCAATTACTTCAATAATTCAACAGGTACCCATAATTATTTTTATATAATAGTTTTAAATTTTAGGTTAAAGCAAACTTTAATAATTAATTATATATTTGTAGGTAGTAGTAAGGAATATAAAGATGTTAAGAATGATGACAATGAAGGATTTTCCACAAAAAATTTTCCTATATCGAAAGAAGGAACAATATTATATTTGGCATCAATAATTTTATATCAATTTATGCCTCTAGATGATGATAATGATAAAAACAAACCCAAGAAAAAAGAAATACCAATAGCTCCTGAATGGTTATTCAAAAAAATTTGTCCTTTGATTATATCTTCTTTAACAAGGTAAAAAAAAGAAAAATTATATATTAATAAATTTTTGTGAAAACAAGATATTATCGATCTTTTTAATTTTATTATTCTTATTATTATTTATGGTGATGGTAATGATTTAGTGATGAAAATAAATCAGGAATGGCAGATAAAATTCTATTAATACTTATTTATTTGAGTGAAAGAAATGAAGAAAATATGTTTACTATTGGACATTTGGAAGCAAAATTGGCAAAAGATGGGAGTAATTTATTTATGGTTTTTCAAGTATGTTATTTTATAATTATAATTATATATACTTGCACTCACATATATTTATTAATTAATTGATATTGATTAATCGATTATTGATTTTATAGTCTGTTGTTTCTTTTGCTTCAACTTCACCAAACGAATCATTAAGATTCATTGCACATCAACTAATAATTTCTCTGATTGGTTTATGTAAAGAGGATGCAAAAATGTATTTATTAAACGAATTATTGGTGAATTGTCCATTTGAATCAATGAAAAGTGCTGCAATATGGATGATTAAAGAAATTGTGGCAAAGAATTTGGATAAAGCTTATAATAAAGAAAATATTTCAAGAGACGAGAATGAGAAGGAATTTTATTCAATATTTTCTAGCAAGTTACTTGTTGAAGGGTTTTTTCAAAATATCTTTTTTTTTAAATTCAATGATTTAGAAAACGAATCAGACTTTTTTGATAAACGTAGTTTTATCATGAATGGTCTAAATTTCTTATTATTTTTACTAATTAGAGATAAAAACAATTTGGTAAATTTTATTTTTCCTTTTCTTCACTCTAAAAACTAGAGAAACGTAATAATTATATTTTCTTGATTATGCATAGACTGGTGTCTGGGATTCTAACCTAATAGATAAAATAAGTAAAGAATATTTGCAACCAATCGAGAATAAGTGTAAATCATTGGAAATCAATTATCAAAAAAGATCTAATGAATTAAATGAAATTCTAAAAGGTAAAAAATATGAATATACATATAACGATGATGATAATTATGATGATGATGATAACAATACCTATATTATAATAATACAGATAAACTTCAAAATGGTGATTATGAAAATGACGAAAATAAAATAAATCAAAAAGAAGATTCTTCAGTGATAGAAATAGGTTTAAAAATTGATGAAATAACCAATTTAAATCCATTACAAGAATATCAGGTAAACAAACAAACAAACAAACAATTTCAATTGATTAATTATAGGGAATTTATTTTTCCAACACCTTCCAAGACGTTAGTTAATACAATGTTTTTACCCCTGCTTTTTAGTTATTGAGCCAGAAGTTATTTGATTTATATCTATTAGAAGATAAAACCAAGAGAATACAAGAAATATTGAGTAACAAAAATTCTTAAAACAAAAATTATTATTGTTATTATTTGTACAGTGCATGTCACAATAGATCTAGACCGAGTTTATAACGTTTTAAAGATATTATTGTATGGGCCATGTTGCAACAACAAAATTCAACAAAGTGAACATTTGTACTACTACCCAATGATTTCAGGGTTCAAATGAATTTGACAAAAGAAATTAAAAAAAGAGTTTATGTACATTTAACATACAAATCAGTTTCAAGAATAAGTGCAAAAAAATTATATATAGGTAAATAAAATTCAAATAATCAAAAATCATAGTCATAACTTTCGTTGATATTTAAAAATTGTAAAAGAATAAAACTTCAAATTATCTTTTTCAATAACTCCACTATAAATAAATATAATTTTTCCTATAAAAACCATTTAACAAAAATGCTTACCTTCCTTCATCACTGAATTTATTTGTGACTTATTGATTGGACTTTTTCTCAATTATAAAAATTACAACCAGCTCTGGAATATAAGTCAAAAAATAGATAAAATAGTTAATGAAATAGAGCTCTTAGAAAAACATAGATTAAGTAAAGCAGTTGGTGAAAAGAAATACCTAAAAGAAATTGAGATTTTATATTTTTTAAAAATTCATAAAAAATTTTTCTCAAAAAATTTTTTGTTTCCTCCCACAAACAATTCTTCATTCCACTAATATATAAATTTCTTTGAAGTTACCCAATTGCGGTCGCGTTTACTTCGTCGAAAATTATTTCGTCGACACCCATTTCGTCGAAAGTTCGTTTCGTCGAAAGTTCGCTTCTCGAAAGTTCGCTTCGTCGAATTTTTATTTCGTCGAAAATTATTTCATCCTCGAGCCAGAGACCGAACGAGTTAGATGTGAGGAGTGTGGGAAGTTAGTTAAGAAATTAGGTGAGGAAAGCGGGGTGTGTGGGAAGTGTGAGGAGAGTGAGGAGAAATTTGTTTAATGAAGTTTTTTTTTGTGACGAAATAATTTTCGACGAAATGAACTTTCGATGAAACAAATTTTCGACAAAATGAACATTCGACGAAACGAACTTTCGATGAAACAAACTCTCGACGAAATGACTGTCGACGAAATGAAACAGACCCAAAACAGCAAAAAATCCCTTAAAAACAGCATGGTGGACATTCAAATATCACATAAAATGTTACACGAATTATTTATATTGTTTAAAATAATCAACTAGTCCCATCAATTAAAGTGGGTACAAGTGTACTAATTAACGACCATTCAAACTTCAATATATTATTCTCCTAGTTGTTTTATACAAACTGCCAAAAGGTCACAGAGAAGATTACACTTTTCAAAATTGCAATCTATTTTATAAAAGTTAAATGCCGCCTAAAATCAATTCTGCAATTACTGTAAAGAAGAAAGATTCTCTTTTTTCAAATTGTTATAATTTTGTGGTACAATATGACAGGAATCAAAAATACAACAAGAAAAATGATAACAAGTCATTTAAAAGACATAAGTCAACTGAAAATATTGCAACTAATAATAATAATTCTTTAGCTTCAATTGAAGAATTACAAAATGAGATAACAAAATTAAAAAAGAAATAGAAGCTCTTACAATGTATTCAATAAATGAAATGACAGGTAAAAGATTTAGAATATAAATATATTGATGATATACAGTTCATTCTCTTTATGATGATAATAATAATAACAGATCATTTGATGAAAAAATATCATTACATATTTATATATATATATTATTTTTATTTAACATAATGATATATTGATTCAAAATTAATAACTTTATGTATACATCTTTAGATGCAGTTAATTTTTCAAGTATTTTCAATGACAAAATCAAAAGATTAACAACTGTTCTTGATAACTATCAACGTCATGAAAATAATGAGCCTATAAATGATCCTGATGAATTTATCAAAATGATTGAAACAAGAGATCCTGAATTAATTGGTTTTTTTGAATCCTGTTTCAAAAAATTTAACAACATTATACAATTTTAAAAAAAAGGTAAACTTCTGCAAAAAAAAAAATGATTTATATTTGTCTAGCTCAGGTACTTCAGCATCAACTATAGACACTTTATCAAATTTGGGATTTACAACTACATATAAAACTGTAATAAGAGAAAAAAAAAATATAGTAAAAAGTCATGAAGAAAGATTACTGGAATATTTAAGAAATAAAGTATGATTGAAATAGATTAATATTTATTAATTTGAAATAATAAATTTTTTTATCTATTTTTAAAGCTTAATTTCCTTAATGTGTTGTTGATTGATGGTTATCATGATATTCATCAAGCAAGAAACCCTATTTATACAAATTATCCAATGTAGCTCATATGGCTACAATTATGATACATACTCATGATATTCCACCAATTCCTTTTATCTCAACATTAGGTGAACCAATTCATAATCCTTTAAATGTTGATGCTGATTTAC